CTGACGTGTAATCAACTTGTACATCTAGAGAAAATATTCGCACTTTCAAGCACAAAAAAGCATTAAAAAATGCATCAGGAAGAGGCTCAGAAGACACAAATATCTGCCCGACAATGAACGATTCTGTCAGATTGGCTGAGGCAAGCAACAGACCCAACGCTGGAACAAAATGCGTGCAGTTTTGTGGCGTAAACTGACAAAAATAGTGATGTGTGATCAATGCAGCCTCGTTGAGTAGATGAGGAATAACGAAAAGAAGGCGACTGTTTGATTATCTCTTTCATAACTAAACGATTTCCAGCTACATAAGAGCTTATTTAAAGCTGTTTACCTGGCAACTGACCCGCAGAATAATGCTTGGTCAGAATGAAATAATTCTCTGTTAATTTAGTCACTACTGGATCATCAGATAGCCGCTTCCTCTGTCTTTGTATAAGTGAGTGTCCGGACTAGATGAGACCAACTTAACAGACTCTTCATGCGCCTAGTGTTCCTAAAATAATCTCGCGTTTATTCGTTTGTGTTGAAGTACCTCACCCGTATTCAGATAGACGGCAATTTGCTTATACGCCTACTAACGAAGAACGGTACCCTCATTTAGTTCCGAAAACTTGGCCAGTGAAGAAACGTCCCAAAACTCCCACCTCATACACATCGTCATCATCACTTCTGATACGTTCTAGCTGAGCTAGCTTATCCAATGATGCCACCGAAGGTACCCGTTCATGAAAACGGCAATCACGTGCCTTCCTTTTAATCCTGTTCTGACAACATTTCTATCGACGGCGCTGCTTGCAATGCCTGATCCGTCAATCTGACGTTCAAAAAACCCCGACGCAACGAAAAATCATTTCGAGTTCTTGTTGTTAACGTTTCGGTCAACGATAAGCCGTGATGTTCTGCCTGTTGCTAAGGCCTGAGCTCAAAATTTACACAACTATATTCCGTTCTCCACGATGGCTTGGTGAGCTGATAACCTGTCTATTGTAGTTCACAATAGGTCAACCCACAATCCAGTCACGTGAGCACATCAATCGGACACGCATCCAATCAGCCACTCAAATCACACGCCAGATCGATGGTGGAACGACGAACGGACACGCACGCGCGCACACTTTCTGACACACTGAAGCAGCTATCACGCGGTCAAAATGCCCCTAGGCGTCCATTAAAGGGGAGTTGTTTGAGTCTGAGGGACAAATATGAGTTATGTACGACCAAGAATTCCAGCAAATAGAAACTCCGTCCTCTTTCCGAAGATAGCTACTCTTTTGCGGGTATTTCATTGTTCAAAACGGTTGCATTCCGACACCTTTTCGTGAGAAGCGATGGCCTTTCCACGCTCTCAACTGGTGTGAGTCGGCTCACTGCAAGAGTAAAAAACATCCTACAGTCAGTGCAGCGACTGAAGTGCTCAAGTCTACCTGATCATACTCAGTTTTCTACACATCTCGTCTCATAATTCATGTAGCTGTTTTCAGTTGGAACTGTTGTTTCTCAGCTGATGCACAACAGGGAGGGCTTTAAGTCCGCAAGAGTCGAACGTAAACGCTTCGGTGTCTTAGTCATAAGCAAAATGACAAAATGAATATAATATGACTTTGTTCAGGGTTGCAGAATATACCAGTGGAGCAAAAAATTGGTGGCTGTGACAACCGCAGTTGGACAAGAATGTCACTGTTGATGATTATGTCGATGTTGAGAGGATAGGTCGTGTTGACCTGGGGACAATAAACAGTCGTCTTTTGTTTGTCATGCAACTAAAAACACCAGGACCACTTGGCTGAGGATACACGTGATTGACAGCTCGCCACAGCTGTGCTGGACCTGAAGTGCCCATCACCAGAAAATCGATAAAATGTACAAATGCAGTTTGTAACAGCTGACGAGATTTTATGAGCTACCAAGACTAGGACAAGTTTTGTTTGAATAGACCCGGACTTAGTTAAACCGTAGAATCAAATTCGTTCTTGACACGTTCCGACCAGTTTATGCGTCAACGAGAATACAGTCGTATTTTATTGTGAAGGAGAAAACGATTTGCTCGGTGATTGATTTTTACCGCAACTTAATTAGGACAAACCGTTTATAACAGCAACAGAGTCTGTGTTACCTTATGAAAAGAAAATCACTCGGTCAAAAACAGACGAACCAATAGATGCAAAAACAGAATGAAAGCTTTCGACAGATACACCTATTCGCAAGTCAATTTGGTTCTCACGAGAAACTTAACTAAATCCCCAGTTTACGGTATTCAAATAAAATATAAGGTTGACGGAAACTCGGGGACTGCGCTGCGCCTACCTGATGAGCCCCAAGAAGGGCGAAACCGGTCGTGGGCTGTCGAGGAGTTTTCAGCAACCTCGTGAGTAGTCTCCTTTATGAGAATCAAAGTTTCCAAATGGAGGACTTCCTCAGGTTGGAAATTCAAGGGTCCACTCGAGAAATAGAGGTGTAAATTGCTGGACTACTGGTTGTTGATTAGTTTTGACTACCGGCTTTACTAATTCGATTTGATTCTTGGTTCACTACTGCTCGGTGTCTCATCCATGATTGGTGACAGACATGTTGGTATGAAAAGTGCACGGCCTCTTCAATCTGTTTCAGGCAAAACTGTACTGCAAACGTGAACGTTCGAAACTCGCGTGTCCTTCTTACAGTCATCTCAGGGCTGTACGTCTTGTGTGAATGGTGCCCAAATATGTATAAGTAGTTTGGAAAGTTGGTGATGGAAGTGGTCAAAAGAAAATTGTAACAATGACGACAGACACAGTCGTCTGTAAAACACTTTGGTTTTAAAGAGACACTCATCTGGAACCAAGCTGAATCTTTCGTTTTTTTATGATGTGATGCACCAGTCCGCCTCATGTTTCCGTTGACACGATACTCGATACATCACGATACATGTGCAAACGTAATACGTAATGCGTAAAACTCTTCGGCGTCAGAAAAAACGAGGGATTCAGCTGAGTTCCGAGCAAATCTCCCGTCTAACCCGAATCGGCAGGCAAACGAGTGAAATCTGTCCACTTTGGGTTTAAGTGGAGCATAAGGTTGACGGAAACTCGGGGACTGCGCTGCGCCTACCTGATGAGCCCCAAGAAGGGCGAAACCGGTCGTGGGCTGTCGAAGAGTTTTCAGCAACCCTGGGAATAGTTTCTTTTATGAGAACGTGATCAACATGCGGTACGCGTACATTCACACCTGGTGGTATCAGCACAATAGTCAATTGAGATTTATTTGTTATTTTCCCAATCAGAAAACGCCCTTTTCGCTGCCTCACAAATGCACCATCAAGGAGACTATCAACCAGACAACTGGCGGCACGCACTTTTTCAACGTTTACGCAGTAAATGAACCAAAGTTTGATTGATTATGTTAGTGAATAGGAAGACTGTATTTCAGCGTGTTAGACTTGTAGGTTGTGCTTGCTTTTTTTCCTCATCGCGCCGGGGCAGATTTTCGAAAATGGAAAGGTTGTAATCGGCCGAGAACTGGGAAACTAAAGTATCAATAGTCCCACACCTTTCGCGGTTCGGAAGAAACTGACGTTTATCATAACGTGGCTAACCGTAGACCACATTGTGCTGTACAAAATACCTGCCTAACCAAACCTAATTGTTCAACTTTGGGATGTTTTTGGTGCGGCCGATATTGGAATACTGTTCAGAATGAGATCTGACTGCTAGAGTATACGTGGAAGCGATTAGGGAAAGTAAAGATCATTTTAACTCACAAGAATGCACTTCCTAACAAGCATTTCGGCAAGAAATAACCCAAGAAGCTAGACCACTCCCGTTAGCGACAAAAACAGTATTGAGGGGTTGATTGATTGATTGATTGATTGATTGTATCAGGAAGATTAGATTCCTGAGTGTAACATCAGAACGCCCGAGACCTACTGCTCCACCAAAATCTCAAAAGGTAAGCCGGCAAGCATCCAGGCAAGTCAATCATTTAATCAATTCAGCAAAACCTGATGAGTGTTCTTGCACGCCACAGAAGCACGACCGAATGTGATCAGCGTTCAGGCATTTCATAGAGGTACGATCGATGTTGATGGGTATTCACTAACGCCTATCAGACAGCCTGGATCAATGTCGGAAAGCCCCCTTCAAATAGCGTGGGGCCATTGTAACTTTTGCTCTCGCACTCGCTTGTTCGGAATATAGCGGTTGTGTTCCCTTCTGTGAGTCTTTTGTTCTCCGGCACTAGATTGTGACCGTTTGATTATAAACCGGTATTTAGAAGCCTGTGTTGTGAAAGGCTTGTATTTTATGAGGTGATACAACGAAGAATTGGTTAGCTCAGAGCAGCCTTACAGCCGGTTTTACAGTCGACATAAAACAGGCTAACAAGCCCATTATTCTACCCTGATTATCTCATCAATATCGTGTTAATTCGCAACAAATAAGGAACACAATGGCGTTGATGGGAAGACATCGAGCTGAAACTAGCGAAAAAACATGGTCGTTGGTTATTTCCTAGCTGGACACCGTGTTTGAAGATATCAAGTTTACAAGAGAACTGGAGACGAACAACCGACTAACATTCTTGGACGTTTAAGTGAACAGGAAGGTGAACAGGACGCAGGAAATTTGCGCATACCGATGAAAGGAAGAAAGCCTTCGGTGTGGAGTTATTTACCAGAAAACCCCAACTGAACAGTTACAGACTATTGGACAGGGAAGCTAAACTCTCATATGCATCTTGTTTACAAAAATTGAATATCCGTCTTCTCCTTGAACGCGTCTTCCTGAACTGTCCTGGATATTCATTGACTATCACTCCAATGTAAACGAATGCTACAAAGCAATTCCACAAATTCCGTAATAAATCCCACTTTCCAATAGACGCGAAGCGGAGCTACGAGGAACCAACTACTACTCGCATGCCACATCAGTAGTATCCACCGCTGGTTTGTCCCAAGCTGGACACCGTGTTTGAGGATATCAAGTTTACAAACGAACTGGTGAGGAACAACCAACTGTCATTCTTAGACTTTTTAGTGAACAGAAAGGTGGATGGAACTCTGGAAACCTGCGTGGACCGGAAAGAGGCATACACGGATCAACTACAACAGAAGTCATCCAGCGAAACTCTAGAAGAGCTGCGTCTAGACCCTTTTCAGGAGGGTAGAGACACTGAAGCTCCGCAGAAGTAAGGGACAGGGAAGAAGATCATATACCCAGGACATTCCAGAACAATGGATATCTAAGGGATTTCATCAAGAAAGGCTTGAAGAAGAAGACATCTCAACAACAACAACAACAGCAAGAACGAGCGACCAGACGGGTAGTTCTGCCTTACATCAAGAGTATACCGGAACCCACAACCAGATTATTAGCTCAAAAGGAAATCCTCCTAGCTCACAAACCGCATGTGACTTTGAGGAAACTTATCTCAAGACCGTAGGACAACCGAGACATAGCTAAATCAATTGCATTAAATGTGACACATTCTACGTTGGACAAACTAGGAGAAAGCTATGCACATGAATATTGGAACACAACGCAGCTGTATGGAGGTATGCCTCCTATCTTCATTATCTATTTACGAAGTCCAAGAAGGCCACCAATCCAACTGGAAAGCACAATATTTCTGACAAATGGAGACAGGAGACACTGAAGGGAATTTCTGGATTCGTTGTACCTCACGGCGGGCTCGATCAACCGATGCATTGAATTAGATTTGACTTACGCGCCACTAAGTGCAAAGGACCAACATCTCAACCGGAGAAGCGAATATCGGATCCACCAAGAACTAAAGAACGCTTTGGGGTCAGATCAATAAAGGTCAGAAGCCGGAACTCGGAAGGTTCAAGAACAGAGCTTATTCCAGCATCGACCAGCATGCGAGAGCAATGGAGGCCAAGGTCACGTGGCAATCGATCACTAGGGACAGAGGATAACAGAGCAAACTATGCAGCCGCCTGACCGGACAACTAGTCGTGATCGAGGGGCAGCACCAGCTAGCAGCGCGTTTAATAACACACACGTGACACTACTCAACGCACAACCACCAACTAATCGCCACGCCCCATAACGCGCCCCAACAACGCACTGATGATGTGAACTCTGTTGGTGATGAAACCTTTGCAATCAAATCGCCCGCGTAAGAGAAAAACGAACGACCATCTACGCTACCTGGGCCACCAACATTGTCCTCAATAGCAAAGGAAGATATCTAGTGAGACTCCAGGTAAAGTCGCCTTCATTCGGAGGGATCACGCACTAAATCGTGTCTAACGGCGAGTGCTACTGAATACTTTTCAGAGCTGGCTTCGGAATTGGCCCTTGGAGGTTAAAAATTTTGATGTTTACGCAATGTTTCGAAAATTCCAGTTTACAATAAGAATACAGATGAGTTGACGAACATGTTTTCGGCAAGGTCTTTTCATATAATAAAATTGCAAAGGTTAGGAGAACAGCATTTAACATAAGTAAAATAAGTAATATAAGTAAGATAAGATAAACATTTAACATAAGATGAGAACATAAGGTTGACGGAAACCCGGAGACTGCGCCTACCTGATGAACTCCAAAAAAGGGCGAAACCGGTCGTGGGCTGTCGACGGATTTTCAACAACCTTATGAGTAGTACATTACAAAGATATACATGTATCGCGATATCTCGAATATCGTGGCGACTGAAGCATGGGGCGGCGTGGTGCAGCACATTCAGTTGCCTGAGAACATCACAAATGAGAGATTCAGCTGGGTTCCAGGTGAGTCTCTCGAGAAAACCAAATTGGTTTGCAAAGGAGTGTATATTCGCAGTATTTAACATATTCGAATGAGCATGGTGTAAATGGACAGTAAATCGAGTGGGAGACAACACTGGCTACCTATCAAAGAACAATTAGTTCAGGTCACCAATAGGATGAATTGAGCCAGTCAGCTTGGGTGGTTCTGTGGTTTCTTTGCATTTTAAGCTCATCACGTGTTGGGCATCATAACGGTGTAGCCCTATTCAGATTCTTCCAAATAGTTGAACTATGTGGCAGAACTTTCGATATCACGAATTCGCCTACACAAACAAAAGTTAACTGGAGCGGCTGGTATATTTCTAGAGGGGATCATCCCATCGACCTGATATCGATCTTTACGGAGACTATTTAAATCGGCCGACGAAATTCCCAACGCGAATTTAGTAACGTCACGTGGCATCAATCACCACACTGATTGCGAAGATAAACCTGGACAGTCACAGACACACTGTCACAAACATGTGACCAAATTCAAACTCAGCACTCACGTCCTGTTGAAGTACTAATAGGATAAATCTAAAGATGGAATAGTTACGTCCTCAGTCAACAGTATCTTTCCCGTTTGTTTATACTTAACCCGGAGAATATCAGGCGCGCTGCCTAGTATAAGTGCCGTTGACGGGCCTGATGCAATTGGTCGTCTTCCTAAAGGAAACTACTCACAAGGTTGCTGAAAACTCCTCGACAGCCCACGACCGGTTTCGCCCTTCTTGAGGCTCATCAGATAGGCGCAGTCCACGAGTTTCCACCGTCAACCTTATGTTCTACTTGAACCCTAATTGGACTGTTTGTGACGAGTACACTCATTTGCAAATCAATTTGGTGTATTACTCAAAAACAGTGCAATTTGGGTTCGAGTAGAACATAAGGTTGACGGAACCTTGGGGACTGCGCCTAGCTGATGAGCCCCAAGAAGAGCGAAACCGGTCGTGGGCTGTCGAAGAGTTTTCAGCAACCTTGTGAGTAGTTTCCTTTAGGAAGACGACCAATTGCATCAGGCCCGTCAACGGCANTCTCGAAAATAGTCGTCTTCCTCTTTAAGTATGAGCACAGAAAGAAGCTCTGTTTACGGCAAACGATGTCTCCGCTTGCGCACGCAATGCATGACCCAATCAACGCAGCCTCTGGTGCTGGACACACTCGTCGATTGCACAGCCTACTCGCTGGCACTAACTCATCCCAGAAACATTTCTGAGGTAGCGGTCGTCGAGGACCCGAAGTAGCCGGAGTTTCGCTGCCGTCACAGGCCACGCCCCCCACAGCCATGCAATAAAAAAACCCACACTGTAGCCTGATACACGTACCTTGAGGTTGATAGAAGTGTTACTCTACCGCCTTGGGTGTTTCCAATTAGCAAACGCGTACCGAGACTTGAAGATTCGTACATGTTCCAATTCTGTCAAACTACAATCAGAACTAATGCAGTTTGCAAGTTATGTAAACTGCTTCATGAATTCGGGTGCCTCTCCCTGGATTGTAACGGGCGTGTCCAGTGACTACATGTCCCTACATTTGTGAGTCCTGTCTGCTGCTCTCTAATCAGTGTTTCACGTGCAACCATAAGGTGACGAAGGAACGCGGATGGCAAAACCAAGTCAGGACTGACGTCGAGCTGGCCTCCCTGTGAGTACCGCCTTTTTTGTACACGAGCACTATCACCGATTGCCTCCAGCTGTCTTTTTCGAAGATGCAGGCGAGTTGATCAAATGCTGCGGATGGGCGGTCATCCAGACCAGGAGTTCGGTGGCACCTCATAGAAAATAGTCGAACATAGACCTTCGACGACTTAGGGTGCTCCAGTTTCACCACTCAGCATTCATTTTCATTTCCATGGTACAACTGAACGGCATTAGGTGGTCATGAGATAGCCACCGGTTGAGGTGTCTTTTTCATTGAAGATAACCACGCCAGGATGATCCTTGATGGTATCGCTCGGACCGGAAGCACGGATCAAGCATTCCTGGTATTCTGCAAATTTTCCTTTCCCCTAACCTTTGATATCCGCAGGCTTCACGGATGAAAATTCGTCGCGCCAAATTGTGTTCGAGACGGGGCATTCCATCAGTAGTTAGGTCTTTCTGCCTTTCTGTCTGATATCCAGTGCTTGACTATAGTCGGCGGTAGCATGGCATAGAGGCAACAGTGCCGAGCCATGGTGCATGAATGTGGTGACCTCATTCCATATCACTCCAGAGATGTTGGAAGAGAACCCAGAAGATGGTTCTAGTTATTTCTTCCAAATTCGGGGTCTCTGATCCTCTCAGTTGCTAAACCGTTCGTGGGTCTCTTGAGTGATCTTAGAAGAAGAGGAGACCGGTGAATACAGCAGATATGATTGGAATTCACGCAGTGAGTTATCGATCCGCATCATTGGAAACTGAGGGCGATATGATCAATTTGGGTTCGTCGCTGCAAGCTGTTGTAGATGATGACTTCGATTGCTTGGAAGGTAAGTGCTGCATAAAAATAGCCCACCATCAGCATACAGCTCAAGTCTTCGTTTGCCATTGTCTCTGCATACTGATTTTATTCCAGGTCGACCCCCCGACCGAGTCTCAGTCTCATTGGTGCATTCACCTCTCCTGCAACCACATACTTATCTGAGCTTTTAGCCCAATGTAACAGGATATGCGGGCTATTTTTATGGTATCAGAGCTACAGTCGGTTGGGACGTAAGAGAAACGGCACAGCCTCTAGCTTATGAGACTTGTTCACGGACTTTGCCAGACTAACCACACAGTGGTGACTATCCGCGGGTATGCAGTAAAACAAGGTCTCTTCCATCTGGTGACCTCGGAAGATGTTGACCTTTGGATCGCTAGAGCTGCGAATCCAGAAGCGAGTGGAATGATGCAGCAGTTTGGTTAATGGGCTGTGATTGGATTCTGTTTTCTTGTTTGTGATACGCAGCACACATCAATGTCAAGCCAGCAGCGGATTGCCCTGCTTGCTACAGAGTGTTCACGATAAATGCCACCAGACTATGGTTTCGAAAAACCTGAGGTTGTTGGCAGATGTTACGCTTAACACCAATAGCAGATGAGCAGGGCGGGACCGCATGCGCCTGCAAGGACAGTGGTAATAATTGGGAACGGGAAGAAAAAAGTGAATGAAAGAGCAAGAAAAAAATG